TTACAATGTGATTAATAGACTGGTTTCAATATTAATCTGGAAACTTTGCAATTACAACATTTATATTGGAAATGTCAATTACTACCAGCATAAGCAGAGTTTCTCAACCAATCAGCACTTCTCAACAAAACATTTCCATGCGTTTGTTAAGGGTTGCTAATTGGCAAAAACTGATAATATACAGGTCAAGTTTCAAGTCTTAAAATAGTGTAAAAACATGATAGAGATCCCAGGCTGCCAATAAAAAAGCAAGTAAATTTTAGTCTATGCTGAAGTTTATAACTGCAGTAGAGACCTTAAGATACCCCGAAATCGGTGTACGGGTACGGGTAGTGTACCCGTACACGTAAAATGTTCATTGGCATAGCTATTTTGATTAAGATACCCGAAGAGTTAAGGCGCGGGGATTGGTAACGATTGTTTACAAAGATGGCGGCCGCGGCGGCAAGGTTTGCTCTTTTTCCTCAGAAATAAGTTAACTGAATTGTTTAATAAAGTCTATCAAATGTATCCAAAATTCTTCTTTACGAATGTTCTCTCTTAAGAAAGTACGCCAATGATATGCTTCTTCATGCATTTGACACTGAGGATGAAGACATTGAAATCCTTCTTGTGGATGCTTGGAGCAAAGTTCCGTCTAGTGTTGACTTGGGTTTTAAAATTGACCTTGAAAGTCTGGACGAGCAAACTTCCATCGACCTGTTTAGGTAACAGTGATTTTGAATAATTGTCGTGATAACAAAGGTAGGGTATTCGAACTCTCCAAACCTTACAACTATTTGACACAGGTTTAGCAAAAATGATCTTAGAGTGCTGCACGATGCTCTTTCAATACTTGTTATCGCAAACCCCACCACTTGAACGACGCACATCACCAAACAGTTTCTTTGATTTTCAACTTCAGAGGTGACTCCCATGCAAAATTTTTCAGTGCTAGTGCTTTGGGTGACTCGAATGTTCGAGCAATTCTCAGAAATCCCCCAAAATACCGCCACAAAATGATATCGTTTCAGAGTTCAACCTGCGCATTTGAGATCCAAAATCAGTCCAGTTTGAAGTGCTTTTTTACAGCTAAAATTTAAATTTAGCAAAAATATTTGAACAGACTTGCAATAAAATTGCCAAGGAGTCAAACAATTCACATTTGTACTTAAAACGTCACACAAACTCACTCATTTCTCCATCATGTAGCTACTCGTAATTCTTCTACGGGTAAACTGGTGTCTACCCCGGAAAAACAGCTGGGTCTACCGGGTAAGATCGATGACGTCATCACAAAATGAAAAAAACATGGCGCTACCCGTTACCCATACACCAATTTTGGGGTATCTTAAGGGGGAAAAATTAACGCCCGGGCGGAGTGTGGGGGTATTCAGCGGACACACTTTTATATAAAAATACGTTGTGTAAGTGATCCTGTAAAATTAAAAGGCATTTCACATGCACATACGTAATAAGACATACTTTTCCCGCGTAAAATGTAAATATGGCAGACAAAGTGGACGAGGAATATCTCCGTCTGCATTTACATGATTATAGAAAGGAAAATGGCTATGTCTTTGTTTTTTTTCCAGGGTGATCTTA